AACCATTTAATTTAACAGATTTTTTCTATGATAAATAAATGGTAATGTAATTATTAATAATTGTTTTCATTTATGTCCAATATGTCAGGGTCTGGCGTCGGCTAGTGTCCCCGTCCATATTGTGGGATGCAGGTTATGCGGTTCTCAGGGGTAAAATAAAAGCTATTACTTCTTAATTGAAGAAATGTAGGATACAAGGATCTTAATACACTTACAAATAATTTAAATCAATTAGAAATGAAAAATATTAAAATATTTCTCAGGAAATTAAGAAAATTAAAACAGAATTGGATCATTTATATATACACAGGAAGTTGAGAAAAACTAATGTTTTTAAAGCAGAAATATGATGAATCTGGGGGAAAGCAATGGAATTACTGGCTAGAAGGTTATGCAAACAACAGGCAGACTCAACTATACTGAAGATACAAGACCCTATATCAAAACAGGTATTCTATAAATCAGAAGATATCCAGAGAGTGTTTGAAGGTTATTATAGGAAACTGTATACCCAAACTCAGGCTGTAGATCCTGTTAAAATTTATGTTTTTCTCACACCTTTAAAACTTTCTTTTGTTAATGATAGTTTAAACGCCAAGTTGTCTGCAGATATAACCGAGGAGGAGATAAATAAAGCAATATCTAGGTCTTAAAACAAATAAATCGCTAGGCCCAGACAGATTTTCATCCGAACGGTATAAGACGTTTAGACAACAAATTATTCCAATTTTATTACCAGCTTTTAATTATGCTATACAAGGAGGCGAATTGCCACCCTCATGGTGAGAAACCATTATTTCTGTGATACCAAAAGAGGGGGAAAATAAACAGGATTGCACAGTTTATAGACCAATCTCTGTGCTGAATATGGATTATAAGTTATTTGTCTCAGTTCTAGCTCAAAGGCTTGAATTGATCATGCCGGATTTAATTAATTCTGACCAAACTGGGTTTATTTGTGGTAGACAAACGCAAGACAATATTAAACGGACTCTCCACATTATCAGTTACATTCAGGAAATGCCATGAATTACATTCTAATTCAAAAGCTGTTCTTTTAAGCCTTGATGCCGAGGAGGCTTTCGATTCAGTCAATTGGCTTTTTCTTAAAAACGTTCTTTCAAAATGTAATTTCCATCCAAAGTTTATTCAAGTATTTCAAAACATATGTTCTTGTCCTTCTGCAAGAATTAAAATAAATGGCGATCTGTCAGGGTGTTTCATATTGGGCAGGGGTGCCCTTTGTCCCTTCTCCTCTTTGCATTGTTTATTGAACCCCTGGGGCAGTGAATTAGGCAAAATTCAAGAATAAAAGTTATCAAGTTTAAAGACGACGAGCACAAAGCAGCACTATTTGCTGACGACATATTAGTGTAATTAAAAGTCGCTAATGGAAACATTAAAAACCTTTGGATCCCTATCTTGATTTAAATTGACTTTTAACTATAATCCACCAAAAGAAATAAAAAAAATATATTGTTTAAAATGGGATCTTAAATATATTAAATGCTTGGGAATACATATCCCCAAAGATATCCAGATCCGAGAATGCATGCGCAGAGGAAAGGGATCATGCGTGACCACGGTGTGTTAAGCAGGACCACAGGGAATGCTCTAACACAGGAAAGACATGATCAGTAGGGGGCAGTCATGTAACGCTCTGAACTGAAGTGGCAGAGAACATTAATCATGGCGTGCTATAGTCTATTGAAGCTGATTGCGTAGTTAGCAAAGGGAGGAGCCAGGATGGAGACAGAAGGAGCCAGGGTGGTGAAGACGGTGGGAGAAGACAGGCGGAAGCTGGAGCAGGAGCAGCCAGGTGGTGAAGCAGTTGTCCGGGTAGTGTGTTAAGTTGGCGAGGTCCACAGATTGTCTTGTGTGGTCCTCAAGAGAGCGATCCCTCTGCTCCAGAAGGAGGACGAGGACGCCAGGATTGTCCATAACAAATCAAATAAAAACTTTTAAAAAACAAAAAAATGTGGGAAAGACGCCGCTAAACCCACTATTTTTAAGGCCAGTTATTCTGGTCACAGGTGTGCTGAAGCAAAACAATGCACACGAAGAAAAAGATTATTCCACAAGGCCTTTTACTGAAAATACTGAAAATACAAACATCCAAACACAAGTAACATAGAACAATAACCGGCAACTCAGGGAAGAAAATGGGGAGACTTATACAAACACTAATGAGGGACTAATGGTGTGTTCAAGTCATGTCGGATAGATCGTATTTATGAGTTGAACGCACATGAACGGCACCACAAAGTCATTTTTACGAGTGGGAAACTCGAAATGTTCTTTAAGCCCCGAGTTTCCGAGTTGGGGGCGTGTCAATGAGAAACATGTCAGATGCAATGGATGCAGCCAAAGACTAGAGATATGCAGCATCTGTATCGACGGTAAATTTGTTGAAATGAATAAAATATTATATTATTGTGTAATTACCATAGAATATATGACGATTCTGTTTTCATCACCTTCATAAATTGAATATAAACCGAAAAAGGCAGAAACACAATGATGCACATTCTTTATTCATCATTTTGTAGACGTAGAGTTAAAAAAATAGTTGAATTTTATGTAGAAAAGTGAAATCGCCATCTTGTTCCGACCAAAGTGACTTGAACGCACCTGATGTCGTAAATACGAACTTCCCAGGAGGACTTGAATGCAGCATATGGACTTAATGAACTAGACACAGGTGAACTGAATAAGGCAATCAAGGGAAACAGAAACTGGGTCAATGACCAAAACTTGGGCAGGAGAACAGGAACAGAAAGATACACAAACTAAAGTCCATATCCGTGACACAAGTGGGTCTGCTGAAACCATTTTATTCCTTGCCACATGGAACATTAAAGTAAATGAAGAAATATTATATGATTACAGAGTGACAAGGAAATCATTTCAGGCAGAAGGAGCGGATCTGGACTGGCTTGATGACTGAACAGACTCGACGACAAAAAATCTTAAACAAATAGCATAATTAAATTATTTTGGCAGTAGACAACACTTAAAAAGTCATCAGTAAAAGATGTGCATTGTTGGAGAATGAAATTCTTGTGTGAGGCGTGAGCAGCCCTTTAATTCTTTGTCTTTATGTGCATAGCATAAAAAAAAAAGTGTATATATATAATATAATTTTAATTATTAGAATTTTTTTTTCTTCCAATTTTTCATTAGTTGTTTTCTCTATTGTTTCCTTTGTGATTAATGTTCGTGTCCGTGTCTGTCTGCATGATTTCTTACAATAGCTTTTAAAGAGCAGGCCATTAGAAGTGTAGATGGCAATCATTTAAATGAATAGATTATTCGTTTCCACTAATTTATTCCTTGTGATTGACTTTCTTGTCCATGTCTGTTCGTTAAGTCATTGTGTAAGTCACATCTAAAACCATTTAATTTAACAGATTTTTTCTATGATAAATAAATGGTAATGTAATTATTAATAATTGTTTTCATTTATGTCCAATATGTCAGGGTCTGGCGTCGGGTGTTCTCCCTCTCACCACCAGAGGTCGCCATTTCCCATCCTCCCGGACTCCGTTTCCATTACCTTGACTCCACACACCTGTGCACACACTCACTCACACACAGCTGTGGCCCATCCTGAGGGCTATTTATGCGCCTTCCCCACGCCACTCTGGGCGGATGATTAATGTTTGTTTGTAGTCTAATGATTGTCACTATTTGTGCTACGTGTTGTAAGAGCTGTGAGCATTGTTACGGGACTGGTGCAAGCCCTACGTGGCCGTATTGCACCCGAGTCCATTTTCACAGTCTTAGCTCTGTTTGTGTTTCTGTTTGTACCTTTGTTTTTCTCCTACGCTAATAAACCTGCATTTGGACCCAAACCATTGCTCACACGGTGTGTCTTTCCTGACCGCGCCGTGACACAATAGGGATACATCAACTGATGTTCATTAATTAGGGATTTATTCATTTATGCCAGATTCCGAAAGAGTATGTTTACTGGACACACATACACTATCAGTCAAAAGTTTTGAATCTTTAAGATTTTTAAAATGTTTTTGAATGTTTTGGAGAACTGTTTTTATGTACACTAAGTTTGGGGTCAAAGATTTTTTAACTTTTAAACCTCTTTTTAAACTTATTTGAACTTTTTATTCATCAAAGAAAAAAAAATTGTGGTTTACACAAAAATATTAAGATAGTATGAAGAGAGAGAGAGAGATTCCCCATGTCAGTTCCTTCTTTTGTATTTATTCTGTTTAGACAATGTGACGACAACATGGAAATTTATTAAAGATAATTACATTTTCAACAACCAGTATCCAGGGGTGTAAAAATATTTGGATAATTTTACTTGATTAGTGTACTTAAGTATTTAGTATTAAGTTTTGTGTGACTTGGACTTTATTCAAGTACAATTTAAACTGACCACTTGTACTTTTACTTGATTACATTTCTGAAGAAAAAAAACTTTTTACTCCTTACAATTTGATTTCAACTTAAAAAGTACTCATTACATTTTTGCATTTTTATATTTTGTCTTATGCACGTTAAATATAAATGGAAGCTCAAATGTGCACGCATATGAGACCCAATGAGGTTTGTTTTCATGCATCCAGCACACACATATCAGTTTCAGTTCTAACTTTCATCAGGGCAATTTCTGACTTCAAAAGTGCACCATCAAATCTGAGGAAGCATATTGAGGTAGCTACGTTGCTTTCACTTTTCCCTTTCAGACCCTATATCAGTTATACCAGTTATTAAACTCATAAACATACACATAATCAGTATAGTTATAAAAAAATCAACATTGGTCAATCAAACACCATCCAGAATCTCCTGAAAGCTGACCTTCATTAGTGCACGCTCTTATAATGTCAGTAAGAGTAGATTTTCAAGAGTATATTTTTAGAAAGATAAAGAATAAATGACAAAAATAACAATATAACTGCCCTTTTCACCTATTCATGAGAGCGTGTCCAACACAACTGTGCTCTTCGTCAAAGAGCCCTGAGAATAACTGTTCAAACAATCTTTAGGAAGAAGGTGAAAGGAACGATGGAGAATGTGAGAGACATTGAAAGTAAAAGGAGGTTGAGCAAACTTCTGAATCCATTGTTGTGGTATTTGACAAATCCAGGTGGGTTGCTGCCTATGTTAGTGGTGATCCAGTCCTGGAACTGAGAAACTCTGGCGAACACACTGGGATATTTGGGGTCATCACAGGGATTGGCTCCAAAACTCACAATGCCGGACTGAATCCACAGGGAACTGTTCCTACTGGCCACTGGACCTCCAGAGTCTCCCTGCATTGACAAACATTCAGCATTTATATCTCGGACAATGTACAGCAAACAGCTGTTACAGACAGAAGTAAAAATATTCCAGCTGTGTGTCCACCAAAGTGGGCTTTTCCTGAGGCCAGAGTACATTTTCATTTGTTTGCAGTGGGAAAGTTAAAACATTTTCATCTTTGGGTAAAACCAAGTGTGCCGTGCACATCATAAAAACGGAAAGCCAAAACATTTCGATGGCCTCCTGGTGGCTGACTGCAGTATAGGACCCGCGTCATCATCATGTAAATGAATGGGATGTGAGCCAAAAACAAATTGCACTTTAAATAAAATTTTTCCCAAAAATGGTTTCTGTCATTGTAGACCAACCCAGGCTCATTGGAAATACGTGCTTCTGGTGATGTTTCTGCAACACCGATATTACACAATTTACTGCACGTTTCACTGCAGTTTTATACAGTGAAATGTCCAGTGAGTGGCACATGTTCAATATGTGACTGTGGCCACATTTTTATTATGTTGATTCAGGTAAGTATTGATGCATTTTTATTTCGTTGTTTCAGAGAAGAATTGCCAAAGACTATAGATATACAAAGACAGTTCACTCCTGTTACATATGAATGGGAGAAACGGCAATACGCAATATGGTGGAATAGTCCCTCCTTCTGAATAAAACAGCCAATCGCTGATTGGTAAAGACATTGCATGACTGCAGTGGCTGTTAGAAGCTCTGGTTCCCATCAAATTTAGAGACTCGCGCTTATATGACTGCACATGTGCATTGGCAGGTCTACCCTGAAAAATAAGCTTTTTTGTACACTATTTGAGCATAAGGAACTACATTTTATGGGGCAGTTCATTTCAGATTTTGATATTGCTATGCTATGTATTGTGGCGGTTCTGAATTCAAATGTGGGGAGTGTCGCTAAAATGTTCTATCGTGTTGGAAAATAACAGACCCCCTACAGCTTACCCAACCAATAGTGTAAACTAATGCAAAAGTAATATAAAGACGCATCTGCTGATGCAACTGTGCTATATTAACTTCCTTAAATGCAGGTTTGAGCTGTTTTGTCGAACCGTTGTTTCACGGGATTCGTAAAGGAGCACTTCACCTCACAAGTGCAACGCCAAGCTACCGAGCAAAACTACTGCATTAGAAAACCCATACATATGAAGCTAGATGACTCTAATGTTCAAAAGTATCAAATTTCAAATCTCGCAGCATGTTAAAATTGTTTTGAAGTCATAACATAATAATGTGCAAGGAATTATGTATTTATTTTAATAGGAGAAACACAGCACTTGACTCCGTCACTCTTTAGCCAGCCCCTGACAGCCCCTGACAGCACATGTACATCACTCAGACATCTATTTGACGTCTGCAAGTATTTTTTTAGATGCATCTTAAATGCGTCTATAGGACGTTTCCTATCAAATGTCAAATAGATGTTTAGAAGATGACTTTAAGATGTTTATGATTTAGAATGTATGTAAAACTGATATCTTATATATGTCTATCAAATGTTTGTACACAGTAGATGTACAATTCACATCCTCTCACAGGGTGAGACAAATACCACACTGTCCAGCATCGCATGGAGGAGAAGTTAATATTGCTGATAAAACCTGTGAAATCAGATTCTGGTAACACATTACTTTAATGGATTGTCCTTCTAAAGTGCTCTCAAATGTGTCCAGCTGCATGTTTTCAGAAGAGCACCTGTCATTTTCAGCTGACTAAAAACGCTTTTTTTGTTTTGTTTTACTTTTAGTAAAACCATGGTTAATTTTCGTAAGGGCTTGTGCACAATATGCATGACTGCTGCAGTAAATGTAAAGGTGTAAATGTCTTTATTGACACAGTTTGCACAGATTATTAGTGAATTAAAAATGAGCATCCTTATGTTCTTAAAGTGAGTGCTCTGGAGGGAGCATTTATTGTTTCTAATAAATTTACCATTTTAAAAGGTTAGTTCATCTAAAAGTGAAAATTTGCTGTTAATTTACAGGCTATTCACGATGTAGATCATCATTACTGTTCTACCGTCATTAAAGTCACCTACATCTAGCCTGAGGGTGAGTAAATTTACATTTTGGGTAAACTATGCCTTTAATTGTTTACTCTATCGATATACTATAGTCTGCACTGCAACTCCATGCTTTCCTCTGCAGATCAGGTGAAGAAAAAGCAGTCGTAGTGAATAAGTTCATGATCAGTGTCGTAAAAACTGGGCTTCATTAAGCAACTAGATTGGAAGTGTAAATGTAACTGCTGTGCATATAGAGGCTGTGGCCTTTAGCCTCCTTGTTAGAGCACTCGCCTTCTAAACCAGAGACCACAGTTTGAATCCCACTCGAAGCGAGGCGAAGTAGAATCGGTTACATAAAGTTTGCATGTGCTGGCTAATGTTCTGTAATTGCTTTGGATTAAAATACATGACTGGATGTCTTACCTGACATGAATGTTTACCTCCCACGTTTATCAATCCAGTACAAATCATATTGCTTGTGATGGTTGTGATCGCTGCAAAAGCATTATAACAGTCATTGTTGCTCACAACTGGAACCTGCACCTCCTGCAGTATATCAGAAACTTCGCCTGCTAAACAGATCAGAGGACAAATTTTGTTGCTTTTAAAAAACATTTCTGGTGGTTCACACTATTGTTTGTATTCAGTTAGCTGGCAAGCAAATCTTCCCTCACCTCCAGACTTTAGAACTCCCCATCCAGTGATCCAGCTCTCCGTACCTCCACCAAATACACTACCAGCCGCCGCCAGACAAACTGGCCTGATGTAATCAGAGAAAGTCACAGAAGAGGAGAGCTGGACCAGTGCTATGTCACTGTCATGCCTAATCAAGTTATATTTTGGATGAGTGATGATTTGACTCGCTCTCCTGGATGTCTCATTAGGGTTTAAGCCCAATTGGCTGTGACGTCCGAAATACATCACAATGCTAGATGCAGTGACTCTGTAAATAGAGAAAGTCTGCTTTAATCCCACTATCATCAATCTACAGTTGTATTTTAAGCTTTATTTAGACTTTCAACATACTGGTTGAAGCAGTGAGCTGCAGACAAAACCCAGTCTTTATTGATTAGACTCCCGCCACAGAAATGACTACCGCTGAGTTTTTGAATGCTGACTTGCCATGGCCAAGCCCCTGCTTTTGCGTTCTCCCCTCCAACAATCTTATTGTTGAGGGGCGCTCGACCACACACTGATGAGAGAAAGCAAGATGTGAGATTTCCTTCATAAAATGCTTCACAGATACAGAGCAAACACTCTTCATGCATGTTTTCCAGGACAAATATCAAATATCTTGAGAAGCAAGATGTCTTAAGATCTTAAGTACACTGATGAGAGAAAGCAAGATGTGAGATTTCCTTCATAAAATGCATCACAGATACAGAGCAAACACTCTTCATGCATGTTTTCCAGGACAAATATCAAATATCTTGAGAAGCAAGATGTCTTAAGATCTTAAGTATTTTTTTTTTTCTAAATATTTATCAAGATTTTGTTAAAATGAGGAAACATATCTGCCAATGGGGCAAGAAAAATAATCTTGTATTGCCTTTGAATTAAGATTATTAGGATTATTTTTCTTGCCACATTGGCCGATAATTTTTCTTGTTTTAAAGGGGTCATCGGATGCCTATTTTCCACAAGTTGATATGATTCTTTAGGGTCTTAATGAAAAGTCTATAACATACTTTGGTTAAAATTTCTCAATGGTAGTGTAAAAAACACCGGTCAAAATCAGGTCTGTTTTCAGCAGGCGGTTCTAGTCCATGTTGCTTTAAATGCTAATGAGCTCTGCTGACCCCGCCCCTCTCTTCCGAGGGTGACGAGCCGTTCTCATAATACTGTTTACTTTAGCCACGGAACTTTCTAACTAGCACGTTATTAGGAAAGGTGATTTGCAAAGATTCATGAAAAACCCTTATACTCAGGGATCGGCGCATCCCCTTCAAAAACAAAAGTAAGGTTAATTCACTGCGTCTTCAGCGGCTCAGATGTCGGGAGTAAATGACGACTGCTATGTTCATTATTACATCCAACAACAGAACACCTCAATCGCTTAGGAGACATTCTTGTCTTCCCCTGCACTGGAGTCGACACAATGGTGGACTCTTGACAGTCACTCAGGGCGGAGCTAATGTAAGACACCAGCACAGTCTGTGCTGAAACACTACTGTCAATCAAACTATCGTGGGAGGGGCCTGTGCAGAACTACGTCATTCTGACAGGAATCTCAGAACAGCCTGGTTTGAGAAAGGGGATTTTAAAAAAACCACTGGGTGGATTTTTATCATTATAGGGTGGATGTGCACACACACTTCCAACACACATTTCAGTTCAAACAACAACAAAATTGAATTTAGCATCGGATGACCCCTTTAAGCAAAAAATAACAATATTTTGATGATTTTTCAGAAAACACTAACTATTCTCCTTCTCGAGTAAATGCATCTTGATTCAAGAATGTTGAAAGATTTTTACTAGAAAACAAGACTAAAATACCAAGTAAATGTTCTGCAGTGTGGAACAAGAGTTTTATGGTCATTATGACAACTTACCATCTAACTGGCAGAGGGAGCCTGTGTGGGTAGACAAAATACAACGTAAGTAAACAAGAATCCAGACAAAGCTGATCAACTGGTTTGTGTAGCCCACAACCGCTTCACCTGTTACATCAGTCCTGGCATGTACTATTGGCATGAAAACAGGATAAAATCGTCACCTGAATAATGGTATTTATGGATTTTAGCCAAAAATCTGGTCGAATGATTTCATAGTCATGACATTAGGTTAGTGTTTCTGCTACAGAACAGAGCTGCATCTCATATTCAGGAAATACTTCTGGGTTACTATGGCTACGGTTAAGATTCTCTCAAATACAGATGCTGACCTTTCAATGTTTTAAATTATTCAAATGTTTTAAATATTAAATATTTTTCTGTATCATGCCATGGGCTCTATTTTATTTCAGTTAAAATAATTATTAATACTGTCATATTTCAGATATTTTATAATTTCATATAATGACGCTATTGTCCTTTAGAGCAATTTATCAACCAACCTATGACAAATGTATCTAGCTATAAACTTTTTATACCTAGTTGCAATTTTTAAAATACATTTATTATTGAAATATAAAAATATTACAATTATTAAAATATGCAGTATACTCACAACAGTGAAACAGTAATATAATAAACAGTCACTATTAATTGTTCATTATCACTATTTTCCATCAAATCTGTAAAAAATTTAAAGTATGTAGAAAATAAAATATGAAACAAATCAAAACTATCTTTTAGCTTTTTAAAAGTCATGATCCGTTCATATTCAAGTTCTGCACATTCTCACACTCTGAGCTGCATCCTGAGAGGCTTTTTAAACAGTACTGAAGGAATGCACATGCAATATACGTAAATACACGTACATTTTGCATTTGTAAAGAAATTAATAGAAGTGCACAACTTATATGTATCTCCAGACAAACGGTTTTTACAATCATGAGAAACTAATTCAGTCAAGTGTGTTGTACTGGTCAGTTCTGAAGTAAAACAAATGCTATTAAACTTATATCTAACTTTGTCATGTTAAAGTCTTTTTGAAGATTTTACCTGCTATGTTGAGAAGTATGGCTCCAGCGACACTCGAAGCGGCGTTGAACTTCATACTTCTCTTCTGGTCTGTGGTCTGACTGCTGTTTTCACAACTGTCAGGTTCCTGATGAGATGTAGAGCAAGTACCGCCGCATTTATGAGAAGTTCTCTGCCCTCCCCCATTACGTTTATCTCGGAATCTTTTTTTGTTCTCTCGCAGAAAAAAAATGACAAATCCAAAAGCTTATTCTGGGGATATTGTGGGTGGGACTTGTCCACACTACTTTTTTTTGCAAAAGTCATAGCTTGCAGAAAGCATGTAAAACACAGATACAAATTCATTTCTAATTTGTCATTCTTCATAATTTCATTCATGTATCATGAAATACATAAATGTAATATTACATTCAGATCCGGCCCAAGGCATAAGGGCCCCTGTGGCCACCATAGTCCAATATCATTATGCCTCAATTAGCTAGTTTTAGATTAAGAGTTGTTGTTTAGATGTGTGTTTAATGATTTATGTTGTTAAAATAACATTCTGTTCGTTGAATGCATTGTCTGCTGGTTTATTTAGCTACTTTTCTGTACGCCACAAATTAAGTATGCCACTTAGTACTGTAAGACTTTGAATGTTAAAGTGCAAATTAACACCTGAGTGCTCTTGTGGGTTTGCTCATCGCAGAAGGGTTATAAACACGCCAGGCAGACATTGGTATGATGTAAGCAACACGGCTACAACAAATAAAACTGATAATGGGTGTCTTAGATTTATAGTGTGCAAATAATCAAGCATTGACAATCAGTCAATGATCAGTCGTATTGGCAGCACTTAGGGGCCCCTTGTACAATTCTGCTTAGGGCCCCAAAAAGGCTTGGGCCCACCCTGATTACATACACTCATTTACTAGTGTGATCAAAGTGATGAAGTCCCACTATTAATTCTCCGCGCATAAATGTCTGTGAATATTAGATTTGTTACGGTCTGTGCTATTTTTGGTGGTTTATAGACAGAGAATGGACTTGTCAGAGAAAAGACCTGCATGTTTTCCTAATTCTGAACATTTCAGACCTGCACGCACTTTCACAATTCTTACAGGAATCTTGCCTTTATGTGACCAAACTTTATGTACAATGAACACTATTCATTCTTAAAATTGCTGAACATATCGGTGTTAAAAGATTTCTGGCCACACAACAGGTAAAACCAGACCACTTGCTGCAATAACAGCGGTTTCCAGTAAGTCACCTTACTTCGAGAATATAGAGCAAATAACCATAAAAAAGATCTGATTCTGAATCGGCCATGACAATTCTTGATCGGTGCATCACTAATTACTAATTAAAATACTACATAAAAAGCCTCAAATTGGAAGTATAATCTTTTTCTATCAGTTCTTCAATAGATAGATCTTGCCTTTCATAAAAGCCAAGGTCAGGGATCTTGGGCTTGAAAAGGTTGGTGACCACTGCTCTAGAACACAGATTGTCCAATGCACTGATATTACTGGAGTAACACAACAAAACTAGGCTTCTCATCTAAACTTGATTTCTTTGCTTTTGATTACTGTAACTCTAAAGTTGTCAGTCTACTAGATTAAATTATGTAGGATGAATATAAACCATTCAAGTAGGCTGTAAATAATTGTTGCTATTGTCATTACTGAAACTGTAGTTCTATAATGTCCCAGAAATGGTCAAAAATGAGCTACTCGGATAACTTTTCAGAAGTCAAAAAGCAGTAAGACTGTTGATATATAGTTTACTCATTTTTATTTTCTCTTTTATAATAAATAAAATACAAATGAATTAATAAACCGAATACATGTTTCTTTGGCAAAACTGTATGTTGTAACATGATTGTTTCTTGACCACAACAACAACTGTGATTAGGTCATCATCACCGTCAGCAGAACTGAGAAATACAACACATATGCTAATATTGTCAAATGATTTTGTGCAGTACCTTTTGAACTCTTTAACTTCTATTAAATGCCTGTCACAAACTTGGCTGCAAAGACACGCACAACAGAGAAGATCCAAAATAGTCTTTATTATATCTATTGGTAAACCCAAACAAAGACAGCCATGCATACCGAGTGGGCATTGTGTTATAGAGACAACACCAGACGAAGAACCAGAACCAAACTGGGAGTATAAATAGACAGGAACTAATGAGCTAATTAATGACACCAGGTGAATGGAATAATAAATCAAACACACTAAGAAACTAGGTCTGAAGAAATATTTTGTCTATTTTTATCTTATTGTTAGCACTGAAAAGTGATTCTTTACTCATTGTGGAAATTAGACCAGCAAATTCCATCATTAAATCAGTTCTTAAAAGCAATGGTAAATAATTGTGGAAAATAAGATGTCAAAGATGCTCATTAGTTATAAACAAGTATCTTACCTGACGCTGATGTTAAAATGGCCAGTCTTAGTTTCTGCTATTTGGCTCTCTATATTAATTTTAATATTTAATTTTTTCATCGGATACCATCCATAGTGAAAGGTGCAGCAAATGGTAGCTCAGGTAGGCCAAAAAACACATGAGGAAAAGCGATGGGATGGGAACAATCACAGACCTTCGCATTCGGACGGGATTAGATTTCTCAGAGGATCACGGAGTTTGCCGAAAAACAGTAGGCAATTTACTCTGGAATTGCTATAGAGGTTGTGTGAGAAAAACAGACTTGGCAGATTCGCACAGGATTAAAATCACAAAGTACATCTGTGAAACACACATTTCTCTAACGTCCCCCTGTAAAACCAGTCCCGTCCGAATAGGGCTTTAGAAGACTTGCCCCCACTGCAGGTCAAACGGCAAACGAGGAAGACCGAATCAAAACACAGCGAAACACGGCCAAAGCCGAACATAACTCAAATAGTCTGAATTTCAGATTTGGTAGGCTCTGTTTTTTTATTGCAATGAAAAAATGTAAGTTTGAAGCACCCATTGCCAAAAATTTAAAAATCTTAAATATCAAAAATAAACATAAAAATATAACTATTTTGCATACTGCTTGAAGTAGTGAAATTGTTTAAAATTGTTTAATTCAATTCACATTTATTGCTATAGCGCTTTTCAAGATACACATCGTTGCACAGAAAATGAAAGTTTCTACATTACAATTAGGGGATATAAAAAATGTACTGCATTGATGCAATAGTTTATGCAATGTAATGAATTAGCAAATTTACATAACTGACCTGAAAAACAAAACAAAACAAATTATTTAGGAATGATGAAGAGACACCAGAATCTATGCACTGACACTGCATTGACCTACTTATATGACGGTTGGTGGTTTATAGTCAGAGAAAAGACCTACATGCACTTTCACATTTCAGAACTTGTCAGACCTGCATGTTTTCATAATTCTGGTTTAGACACCTGTGTTTCGTGAAAATGTGAGCATGTACAATGAAAGGTGTTGTCATGAGAAATGTTGAAGAGAGTAATAGGAATTAGGAAAGGAATGCCAATAACAGCAGTTTCCAGTAAGTCACATTGTTTAGGGAATGATACCCTCTAGGCCCCGGGGTATTCAACTAAAATTTAAAGAGGTTAGGTTAGTGTGTTATATATTTAAGTACAGTAGCCTAGTAGTTCTATCAACATTTGCATGTTATCAATACGTGACTGTCAAATCAAATGAATTTAGTACAATTCAAAAACGTTTGACAATATTTATTGTCATGTAACATAGAACTGAACATATATGTATGACTGTAGCTATATATAATGTTCTCTCATTAACTAAATAAACGTACGGCTGTATTTCAAAATAAGATCAAATAAATAAAATGTGAAAATTGTGTATGTACAAATAAAGTGCTTAACTTCAGAAAAATAAATTAAATGGAGGAAAAGCTTGAATTTCCCCTTTTCTGTTTTACATCTTGACTCAACAGTCTCAACCAATTTTACAGATAATAAATCTCAACACATCCTAACAATTGGAACAGTTTTAAAGTATCACTCTCTTCCCCTCTTATATCCCATTCCCCCACTTTTTTTTTGCTCAGTGAGAGAATTGAGCTCTAGCTTGTCTTGCCAGGATTTTAAACCTGGGCTTGAATGGAGTCAGAGCCATTCTCATACACATGTGGAGGTGCTCATTGGTGAGCCTGGAACGATATTTAGTTTTGATTATGTTCATTGTGGAGAAAGCTGCCTCGCAGTTGTATGTGGAGCCAAACATGGTCAAGATGTATAGGGCTACTTTCCTCAGACCTGGGAAAGCTGTCTCAGGGACCATTTGGAGCCAGAAAGTGGAAGGGTCAGTTCTTACAAACTACTCTTTCAGGGCCACATTTGCTTGGAGATCAACCAATTGCATCTGGAGAGGCCCAGCATTTACCCATTTAAAGTGCTGTGTGACTTCCTTTGAGAACCCCCTGACATCTGTGATGAGAAATGGGTTCTGAATGAACATGGTGAGCTGCTGTCCAAAGCTGAAGCTGTCAAAACGGTTGCTGAAGTTTACAATCAGCTTATCAATAAAGTCAACAAAAGAAGATACATCTCTCTGTCCCTGAATCTGTTCCTGCACTGCTGGGAAGTGTGCACAGTCTCCCTGCAGGTCTTCCTTGAACACCTCAAGTTTCCTCTGAAAGGAGCGGACAGCTGTCATCAGTTCACAAATTGAATTGTCCTTGCCTTGTAGCCTCAAATTCAGTTCATTCAGATGTGAAGTGATATCAACCAAAAAGGCCACATTATCCATCTGTTTCTCATTTTCTAAAAAGAGAGAAAACTGTGTTGCCTTCTGACTTATTAGCTCTGCCAAAAAAGATGCTACTTCCCTCCTGATGGACCAAAAGCGTGCTAACACCCTGCCTTTACTGAGCCATCTCACATTGTTGTGCAGCAAAAGATCATCAGCATTGGCGTCAACTTCTCTGAGGAATTCCCTAAGCATGCGATGCTGGTAGGAAGAGGATGCCCTGAGAAAATTGATCATTTTCATCATTGTATTCATCACCTCAGCATGCTCATCTGACAGGGAGGCGCAGAGGACAGATTGATGAATGATGCAATGGTAAGCTATGAGCTCAGGATTGTCC